ATGGATGACGGGTTGTCCTGTATGGTGTGTGTGTAGTGGATTGTGTTCGAGCTGTGGATGACTTCTCAGAAGTGCTGAAGGTGAGAGGAGATGTGATAGTGGGATGAACAGTGGACATTGAATGGAGGGTGCCAGGTTGGGAAACGGTTATAGTAGAGGAGGTGGCAGTGGTCATGACCACGTTTGAAATGGGTGCAGTGGTTGTTTGTTTGGGTGTTGTGACTGAAGAAGTGGTTGGAGTGGTAGATGAGACCTGAGTTGTGCTGTGATCCGGGCTTGTGTGCAATAAAGTTGTCATTGTATAGGGAGACTTGGAGGGTGTCCGTGTTGGTGAAGCTGTATTGTGTCCTGTGGCAGTGGCTTCGTTCAGTGTCGTGGCAGAGCGCATGATGGTAGTTGCAGCTGATGAGGTTCGCGTTGCATGGGTTGTCAGCTCTGATGCTGGTTTGGGTGTTGGTGACTCTGTCTGGGTAGGGGTGCTGGTCCCTGGCGATGCGGCTGCTGTCTTGGTAGAGTGGCCTTTCGTGGTTGTTTTGGGTTTGCTTCCTGTGCCTGTTGGGGTGCTTTCAGTCATTCTTGTGGGTACTAATGTGGCTGTGGGGACATTAGAGCCAAATTTCATTTCCACTCCTGTTCTCCCTCTTGTCTTCCAGCCCCCGTGTTCTTTGGGTCTCAAGTGGAGGCAACTTGTCTCTCATTAGGAGACCCCAGCCAATGCCTCTGACCTTGGTCCTGGCTTCCATATTGAGAGAGGATGGAGTCTCTCAAGGGACACGGTGTGAATCCTGAGCCTTACAGTGACCCAATCCTGACCTTCTTCCCCAGTGGACAAATCACCCTTCTCTAAAGTGTGCCATATGTCACGGGCAGCTTTTGCAGGTAATGCAGGAACTGGGGCTCTCCATTTGCATGGAGAAGGTCACTCTCCCCTCTCAGCCTTCTTGGCTGGTTGGGACCTGGCAGGTCACCTTTTCTAACCTCTCTAATTTTCTAGATATTGAAGTAGATCCAGACAAAATCCTTGCCCTCGGGCCCGGATCTCTACCTTACTAGCAGAACTCAGAGCTCTCTCCATGTTCACCGCTTGTCTTCCTTTGGTAGAGCTAGCCCCTCCCCGTTTTTCATCTCTGCTCAGGTCTGGCTCAGGGACTGTCCAATGTGCTGATTGTGGGTCATGCCATTGACCCCAAGCGCTGAACATAGGGCTCTGCACTCAGCAGCTCCCCTCCTTCATAACTGTCTATTGAACAGAGTGAGTTGGAAATGCCCTAACGACATTTGGGGGATAGAGGGAGCCTGGGCTAACTCCAGAGGAACCATCCAGAACCAGGAAGACCATAGGCTTTGCCTTCTGGCTGAGATCTGCTGCAGCCCTGGCTGGGGGAAGCTCAGGGATGCTGCCCCCATTCCTCTTCTCCTACCCTCCCCGGCACTCTACATAGTTGGCATTGCCTGGCCCTTCAATCCAGTTCTCATCAGGGTAAGTTTTCAGGGGAGAGGGTACCTGGGTAGCAGGGAAGTGGCTGGCAGTGGTCAAAAGCACTCACCGGAGGGTGGCGGAGACACTGGCCCTCTGGAGGTCTCTGCCAATGTGGCTGTGGTCAGCGTGGGCCACAGTAATGGCCCTGAGGTTGCTGTGGTGCTCCCAGTGGATTGAGCCGTGGATTGTGTGACTGTTGTTTGGAGGGATCCTGGGCTCTCTGAAGTGGCTTGTGTGACTGGGGAGCTTGTCGTGGTGGAGGCCAGTGGGAAAGTGGCTGGGGTTTCAGGGGGAACTGAGGAAGTGACTGCCACTGTGATGGTGGTGGTGATCGTTCCCCAAGGAGTTGCTGTGGGAACCAAGGACCAGTTAGAGTATGGCCATACTACTGCTGGTGCCCACCCCATGCAGCTGACATGGCTGAGCCTCTCCCCCTCTCTTCCTCAGTGCATGCCCTCAATTCCAGGGGGACACCTGCCTGGCATTCCCCCATGGCCTATCACTCCAGCTCCTCTTTCCTCAACATGCTTCCTCACCGCCTTGTGTCCAAGGTCCCAAACTCCTCAAGCAAGGTTGGCCCCAGGGCTTCCATCTCCCCACCCGTCAAGGATGTGTATCCTATGTCCACACGCAGACACTGTCATGATCATGGCCCCTACATATGCCACATCTCTCCTTATGCTTGCAGGATGCTGCCTAGCATGGGGCCCTTCTGGGTGGGGGCCCTGCAGCAATTCCTACTTTGGCTGGAAGGAGATCCCTGGGCAATAACAACAATTAGAGAACCTGCCATGCATTATCCTCATTCAACCTTTGTGGCAACACCAAAGGCAGGTGGCGCTGTCCCAATTTTTCTGCTGAGGAAACTGAAGATCACTCCGAGGTAATTGGCTTGAACCCAGCTAATGAGTGGCTGAATTGGCAGGGGTTGAATCCAGGCTGGTCAATCCTGTGGCCATGCTTAGCCACCCTTTCCTCAGTCTCTTGTGATAGAGGAGAGGAAGATGGGCATAGTCTGACCCACCCCTTGGAGTTGGGCAGAGCATATTTCAGGGAGTTCAGAGGGGAGGTATTGGAGAGCACAGGGAATTAGACAGGATAAGTCAGCCCCAGAGCAATGAGATGCCCCCAAGAATGATATTTTCAGGACACAGAAGAGAAGGACTTTTGACGAGGGTGGAAAGTGGATATTGTCTAAAGAGCCAGATATGGCTGCACAAGGAAGCTCCTTGCCAACTTGAGAGTCTTCAGGCACATCCAGAAGATGGGGGCCAGTGCAGGTCCTGTAAGGATGCACCAGATCCCTAAGCCTCGCAATGAACACAAAGAGCTCACCAGAAGCTGTAGAAAGCGCCAACCACCAATATTGTGTACTTGTTCTCTAGCAATATTGGGGAAAAGAGGGTTCAAGAACAGAAAAGACCTGCCTGGGAAGGATGGGATGAGCATCGCTGGCAGCAGAGAGAAGAGCAGCCTGCTCATTGTTATACTTAGGTTTTCTCCACTGAGGACAGGACAAGGCAGTGAACAGGGACTTGGGAACTAAGGTAGGGAGACAAGGGGAGAGTGTGGCCCTCCTTATGAATGTCAAGCTCTTGGCTCTGATGTGCTCTATCCCAGGGCACTGAAAGATGTGGGAGACGTGATGACTGCATCTCCCTCAGGGCTCTTTGGAAAGGCTGGGGAGAAGTGGGGTGAAGTCCAGTTCCCAGGTGCTTGCTGGGAGCTTTGGGCAGAGATTGGCTCTTATCACTCTAGCCCACTGCACCAGCAGGCTCTGTGTGGGGTCTACCGCTTCCCCTTCTGGCCTTTGCTTAGAAACCCTGATTGTGAAGAATGAAGCCAAGATGGTGGAATAGCAGAAAGAAGTAAACCCATCTCCTCCAACACCTCCAACACCTCCTCCACAAAGACTAGAAAACAGACTGAATTCTGATTGGGAAATCCAAGCAAAGAAAACCACAGAGAGTCATTTTTCCAGCCCAGGGCAACCCAGAGACACAGTGAAGTCATAGAAACTGGGGACAGGGTATGGCCAGGGGTTTGCTGAGCATTCCAGTGGGCAGGAACTGAACAGGAACTGAAGGGGCACTGAGTCTGTGCATCAGGGCAAGAAGAGGTCCCAGATCCATGCAGTGGGATCCTGATCTCACGTAGGATGTGGGAACAGGTGTCGACTGGCTGCTCTGTCATGCATGAGATTTAATTCATGGATCCAGGGTAGACTGAGGAAGGCATCTGTGTCTTGAGGCAGCATTCCCGGATGAGGAGTGGTTGTGGGCCCTGGGCTGTGTATTCAGTGAGGAGATAGTTTAGAAGTGAGCAGCATCTGTGGGCTCTGGCCCCAGAAACAGAGTAGGGTCTCAGTCCCAACTTCTAGCTCAATCTGAAGCCTGCAGAGAAAGAACCAGGGCAGGAATCCCAGACCAAAGGAGAGCCTACAGTTCTGTCCTTCTAGACCAGTAGAGCTCCCAGCTGGCTGATAGCAAGTGACTCTATCAACAGTCTACTGGAATCTTTCACCAGAGTCAAGTCAACAGGAATGTTGTACAGACCCAAACCCAGGTCAAGAACTGGCTGAGCTCAGACCAGGAAGGCAGGAATAAGACTTTGCCCTGGATCACGCCATTTTGGGAGCACTGAAAACTTGCAGATCCCTAGGCTGAGTTGTCCCTGAGATTCTGAAATAACACACTACCTTAAGAAAGCATCAGGAGAACCCAAAAGGATAAAAGCTCAGTTCAGACACAGAGCCTAAACCCACTGTAAAGTCTAATGTTGGGAAGTTAGCTAGAAGAATGAGTAAACAAACAAATAAAAAAAAACAATTCCACCATAAAGAGCTACGGTGACAGGGATGCCCAAAACATAAACCTAGAAGAAGGGAATGACTCCAAAACATTTTCAAGCAAAACATCTAAGAAAAACCTACTGGAATTCCTGGAAGAGATAAAGCAAGAGTTTTTTTTTAAGAGCTAAAAATTATTTTATAAACCAAATGAAAGTGCTAGAGGAAAAAAAGGAAATGAATTGAGAATGATGGAAGATTTGGAAACAGAAGTAACATTTTGGAACAAAATGGACAAAACCTTACCCAGGAATAAAATTCCCTGAAAACTGGAATTGGCCAAATAGAAGCCAGAGTCTCCTTGAGGCAATAAGGAATATTAAAACAAAGTCAAAATATTGAAAAAATAATAGAAAATGTAAAGTAACTTATAGCAAACAACTGAACTGGAAAACAGATCAAAGAAAGATAACTTAATAATCACTGGAGTATCTGAAAGCCAGGACCACGAAAAAGAATCTAAGCATGGTATTTCAATAAATGATGAAAGAAAACTTCCCAACTCTTAGAACTAGAGGGCAAAGTAGAAATCGAAAGAACCTGACTTTCAGTGACCACCTAAAAGAAACCCCCAAAATGAAAACTCCCAAGAATATTATAGCCCCAAATCCAGAACTTCAGGTCAAAAAGAAAATACTGCAAACATCCAGAAAGAAATAATTCAGGTACAGAGGAGCCAGAATCAGGATCCCACAAGACTTAGTGGTCACAATTATAAAGAAGTAGAAAGCTGGGAAAACTATATCCCAGAAGGCAAAAAAATATAGACTTGGAAATGAGAAAAACTTACTTAGAAAAACTTTATAGGGGAAAATGATTCATTAACGAAATAGAGGACTTATTCCTGATGAAAAGATCAGAACCAAATAGAAATTTTGAAATAGAAACACAGGAGGCAAGAGAAACATAAAAAGGTAAACATAAGTGAGAAGTCATAATGGACTAAACAAATGGGAAAGGGGGAAAGAGTAGATTAAGGAAGACATTAATCTTAAGCAAAACAAATGCTAAGGAGGGATGATTTTGAAAAGGGCTTAAGGGAAAAGAAAGGTTATGAACCTGGGTGAAGGAAAGAGAAAAGGGGCAGAAGCAGATTATACCAAACCAAGAGCACTGGTGCTCCTTTCTCACCACTCTCCCTTTCTTCATAAAGATGGGGCAGAAAAAAAGAGGAGAAGTATAAAAGAATAAGATAGAAGGGAATACACAATTAACAATCATAGCTGATTATGAATGGGATGAACTCGCCCACAAAACAGAAGAGGATAGCAGAATGGATTAGAAATTAAAAGCCAACAGTACATTGTTTATAAGAAATACACTGGAGGGGCTGCTAGGTGGCGCAGTGGATAGAGCGTCAGCCCTGGAGTCAGAAGGACCTGAGTTCAAATCCGGCCTCAGACACTTGACACTCACTAGCTGTGTGACCCTGGGCAAATCACTTAACCCCATTGCCTAGTCATAAAAAGCACAAAAAGAAAACAACAACAACAACAAAAGAAATACACTTGAAATAGAAAGACACACACAGACATAAAATAAGAGACTGGAGCAGAATCTATTAATCTTCAGCTGAAGTCAAACAAACAAACAAAAGAAAGGCAAGGGTAGTTAGCATTCGTGATCTTGGACAAAGCAATAGCAAAAAATGAGACTTAATTAAAAGATACAAAAGATAGATTCTGCTAAAAGATACCATGGCCAATTAATGAATAGCAACACTAAACACAGAGGTACTAAATGACATAGCATTTAAATACTTAGAGGAAAAGTTAAATGAGTTACAGGGAGAAATAGACAGTAAAACTATAAAAGTGGGAGACTTCAATTTAACACTTTCAGACCTAGATAAATCTAACCAAAACATAAGCAAAAAAGAAGTGAAAGACTCAAATAGAATTTTAGAGAAGTTAAGTATGAGAGACCCCAGGAGATTATTGTATAGGAATATAAAGGAACATGCCTATTTTTCAGCTCTGTATGGCACCTTCACAAAAACTGACTATCAACTAAACCTCAAAGACAAACACAGAAATATTAAATGTATCTTTTATAGACCACAATGCAATAAAAATTGTATTAAATAAAAGGCCATGAGACAAGGATTAAAAATTAATTGGAAACTAAATAACTTAATCCTAAAGAATGGGTAGGACAAAGGACAAATCCTAGAAACAGTCAATAATTTCATCAAAGATAGTAACAGTAATGAGTCATGATTGTTTTCATCTAGTAATCAAACAGCTCTTCTGGGAAGGAGTATTCATACTTATTCTGTTTAAATCCAGAGCCTAGAACCAAGAACAATGGGGGAAAAGGGGAAAATGTAGGCTCAATGCCAGGATAAAATGGCCTAGCAGTGAGAGTTGTCCGGAAATGAGGAAGGCTGCCTTGGGAGGGAGGAGGCTTCCCTTCCCTGGAGATCCTTGTGCAGAAGGTCAAGAACCCTTTGCTGTGGAGGGAATTCTTGTCTAAAGTTAGGCTTGGTCTGAGGGTCTTTGAAGTCCCTTCTGGTCATGCCCTTCTGAGATTCTGTGAGGAGGTTCTAGGTTGCTGCACTGGCATGACTGGGAGTGAAGGTCTAGCTGGTCAGAGACCCAGAACCGGCCAAAGAGTAGTCTGCACCTGCAGGGGATCCCTCCCAGCTGACTCTCCTTGGGTGCGGGTGGGGGAGGAGGGAGAGGAACAGCTCTCCAAAAGTAATGATAGCTCGCCTGAGAGTGGTTAATTCTAATCCTTGCTAGTATTCTCCAGTGTTTGTGGCCTGCAAAGTGCTGGGCACACATTACCTCACTGGGCAGAGACCTGGGCACAAGACCTGCCTCTGCCCTTTCAATGCCCAGACAACCCTCTAGCGCTCTCACTTTCAGAGCAGGTGCTGAGCTGAATTGGTGGATGGAGTTTTCCAGCCAGGAGTTCCCTACGCTGATGGAATGAGAAATAAGAGCGAGAACAAAGCAGTTCATGTGTTTACAGAGCCCCTAGAGGGGTGCAAAGTGCCTTCCTCACTACACCCCAGAGAAAAGTAGTGTAAAATTTATACTCATTTTACAGTTGAGGAAACTGAGGCTGAGTAAGATGAACTGCCTTGCTCATAGCTGCACAGTTACTGTCTGAGGAGGGATTTTAGCCATACTGACATTCCTGGGATTCTTGAGATCCCAAGTCTGGTGCTCTGCCCACGGTCCCACATAGCTACCCTCTACTAAGGCCAGACACAGAGCAGCGGACCTGAAGTCAGGGCCCTGAGCAATGACTGGGTCCTCACTGCAGCTCTGTCTGGAAGCGGGGGTCCTCAGGGGAAGTCTACCCTTCTCAGGAGCCCAGAGCCAGGGCCCGGAACGGAGGGGCTGGGGGGCAGGGCCTAGGGTCCACCCTAAGAAGGGGCTGTAAGACCCCCATTCCAGCCAATTTCACGTGGCACAGTGCTGCCTGGCCTGCTGGGAGGCTGCTGGCTCCTTTCTTTCCCCCCGCTGCTCTGGGCAGTGAAACTGACAAGCCTCAAAGGCTGAGTGTAGAGACGTTCAGGGTGGGTGGACAAGTTGGGATCTGCCATGCGCCAGGAGTGCCTAGGGCAGAATGCTGTTTACCACCTGTGAGCCCGGGCTGTGTGCCGGTGGGGACTTCCGAGGTGGTCTTTCCAGAGGATTGGGAGCCACTCTGGCTTGTTGGAAAAGTGACTGGGCTAGCCAAGGTCGGTCTGGAGGAGGAGCTCACTGTCCCAGTTGGTTTGGTCAACGCTGATGATGTGCCGAGTGTCTGGAGGGGGCTTGACAGAGGCTTGGTGGTGAACACGGTGGTGGTTTCTGTTCCCCTGGTGCTCTCGGGCGTGGTTTTGGAGTGTGGGCCTAATGGGAAACAGCCTAAGTGTTACCTGTGCCCCACTGGGGTCCTTCAGGGCACTGAAATCCTCTTCTTGTCTCCGGGGCCTGCTTGAGGGGTGAGCTTCAGGGACTCACTAGGAGACAGGAGCTGACTGGGGCAGGGTGATTGCTGGGGATGGCATCTAATCAAGGGGTCCTGGGCACTAAGGACAGAAGTGAGGAGGACAGAAACTCCCATTCATCTCCCCCTTGGGCATCTCGGCATCTCTGGGAGGCCGGTCGTACTGAGCCTCGGAGGAATGAGAGCACGTGCCCAGGTCTTCCACGTCCCTTGGGTTCCTCAGAGCCAGGTCTTCTGACCCCACACCCCGTGAGCACGGCACACTGACAACACTTGCTCTCAGCTCCTCTGACCGGTCTCTGTGATGTCCTAACTCTGAAGTCCTTCATTCTCCCAGACCTCTCCATGACCACCCATCCTCTGGAAGCTTTCACAAGGTCACAGATTTGGAGGCCTGCCCAGCTTCTTCCTTGGCTTCTGCGTCTCCCACCCTGCACTGTCTTTTTGCTTTTCTATCCTGTCTTCCTCTGACTCCCTTCCTGAGCCTTCCTCAGCCTTCTCATCTTCCTTCCTTCGCTCTCTCCCAAAGACTGGACTTTGAAGCCTAGGCTGCCAGCTCTGACCTCTGGCCCCTACTTCGCCTGCCTACCTGCCTGGCCAATTTCTCCATCAGCATCTCTCCCCCAGACCCTCTCCTCTCTCTGGCTTCCTCCTTGGCTGGCAGCCCTACCAGGCCTTGGACCAGTCATGCAGCAGGAGCCTTTGCTGTCTGCCTCCAAGCCCGGGAACTGTCTGTCTCCTCCCCACCCCCACCCCCACCCCCACCCCCAAGGCCCCACCATGGAGCTCTCTGCCTTGGAAGTGCTGTGCTGTTAGGGTGTTCTGGCTGAAATGCGGGGCAGGGGAGGCCTGCCATTCTTGGTCGTTCAGGCTTTTTTTCTGTGTCAGACTGACCCCCTCCCCACCATATACACTCCTGCTTCTAGTCAGGGTTTCTTTCTTCATAGGCCATGGTGGGGAGGGGGGTCAGGAGCAACCTCCCTGTGCTCCAGGCCTGTCAAGACCTCCCTGGCAGTATGGGGCAGGGGCCAGGGCTGAGAAGGGGGCCCGAGTCACCTGTTGTGGCTGTTGATGGAGTCGGGAGAGGTATTTGAGCTGAAACATAAGCAGAAGATTGGTGGGTCACAGGAGAGAAGGCCCAAGCCTGAGTTCTCCCCTTCGATCCCTGCGGTGGGCTGGCCAGGGCCTCCTTTCGGGGGGACCACATTTGGGCCACTCTTGCCCAGCCTTTCTGAGAGGGAAAGGGCCTTTGAGTGCCCCCTCCCTAATCCTTCTCTCTCCCCTCCCCCAATGCCCATGGTCTCCCTTCCCTCCAGATGAAAGGGTCAGGAATTGAAGGTGTGGACAGAGAGAGGTCAGCATTACTGACCCAGAGCCTCTGCCCAGGTCAGGGGGAAAGTGGGGAAATGTGGGCACAATGGTGGAGGAGGGGTCAGCACCCGGCAGGGGTGCTGGCAAAGGGCTCTGGGATGTCTGAGCAGGGAAGCAGGGCCGGGGGGGGGCATCCTGGAAAGCTTCCTGGGGGAGGCAGTTTTAAGGAGAGAGGTCAGGGAAGGTTCTCTAGCAGGAGCAGAAGCCCAGAGCTAGAAATTCCCGAGGGACCTGAGCCCTTGGGAAAAGTCTGGGCAGGGAAGCAGGGTGGAACAGCTGATTGATTTGGGGGTGCTTGAAAAGCCACCCATATTTGGAGCCTCGCTCTGTCTGCCTGCCTCTGCTACTGATGGCGAGGGGCTCTGGGGGCTACCTGGGCCAATGTCCTCATGGGCCAAGCCTCTGTCTGTTGTCAGCCTTTCCAGAAGACCCAGAGGGTCCTGATGAAGGCCCTGCCTGCAGCTCAAGGGACAGGGCCATATGCGGCTTGAGCCTGGGGACCTGCTTGACAGCCTCTTTGGAGAGCCCTGTGCCCACAAATCCAGGCCAGTCTGCTTTGTGGGTAGCAAGGATTCTGCAGGGGGAAGGGGGCCTGACCCTGAGGGTAGAGGATCCTACCCCTCCCCTCCCCAGGAGCTGGCCCTGCCCCTGCACCCCTTTCATTGGTGAGGCTGAGCTCCCCCCCACCCCTGGGGTGCCAGGAGCCCTGCCTGGAGAGCTGGACCAGGGCCAAGGGCTGAGCTGAGGATGAGGCTGCTTACCCAGAGGGCCAATGGGAAGAGTACTTACAACAGGGCACACAACGCCCTTCCTCATGGTCAAAGTACTGGTCCACCGTGCAGTTATAGCAGCCTGTGGGAGAAACAGGGGATGGAGAGTGAGGCGGTGTGGGGCTCTACTGTGTAGCTCCACAGGGCCTGCTGGAGCTGGGGTGGGGGTGGGGTTGGAGAGCATGGACCTGCCTCTCTGTCTGGGCACTGGAGAATGGAGCCCAGCCTGTCTACACTGATGCGGGGAGAGAGCAAAAGGTGCTCAGGGGCCAGCCGTGAGGGTGGCTGGGCTCCCCTCCCTCCCCTCCCTCCTCACCCCTTGCCCTCCTTTCCTTTCCCTCCCTCCCCTGTCTCCTGCCCCCTTCCCTTCTCTCTGCCTCCTTCTCAGTGATGCTCCCCAGGCTCAGGTCTTGCCCCCTGGGGCTACTCCTAGGGCAAGGCCTCATCTCAAGGTTCCCAGGACAGAGCTGGTTCTGTGGCCCAAGTACTGAGAGACAGGAGCACCCATGGGTGGTATGTGGACACCCTTCAGCCAGAATAGCCTTTCTAGCCTTAGAACCTCCCTCCCCCAATAGGGCCACCTTGTGTGTCTGAGTGGAGCCAGAGCGCCCTGGGGCCTGAGGATGGCAGAGCCCAAGTATGCCAGCACTGGGATGTGGCTCAGGGCCCTTTCCCTCTAATCAAATGAGATCATAGGTGCAGAGTACTTAGCCCAGTGCCTGGCCCACAGATAGTGCTAAAGGAATGCTTGTTTCCTTCTCCTTCCTGTTCAACTCAGGGACTCTGTGCCTGTGTCTCTGTGGTCAGGCTGTCACCTTCAACGTTGATGTATTTGTTACTCTGGAGCTGAAATGGACAGAGGCAGGGCTGGTAGTGCCAGGTACAATTGACTTCCCCCGTGTACTGGTAGCTGCCATCTCCATCAATGAGTTTGTGGGTATTGAAGAAGTCACAATAGGGAGCTGAAATACAAAGTCATCTCCACTCAGCAGCCAGAAGCCTCTGCCCCTGTGTGCTGCCCAGCTCCCCACTGGCAGAGGCCAGGACAAAGCCAGCCTTGTAGAGCTGATGCCCCAAATGCACTCAGGCAGCTCCTGGCAGCAGAGGAGTCCCTCAACTGAGCTCACACCAACAGGCTGGCAAAGGGCTGGCCTCGGAGGCAGAAAGACAAATGGGGAAACTGAGGAAGCCCAGAGGGCAAGGGACTGCCCTAAGGACGGGGGCTGAGAAGCAGAGATGGGAACTTAGCCCAGGACTAGTCTTATTCTGTTTGGTGCCAAATGGAAGAACTAGCATGGGGTAGGGGGAGGGAAACCAGCCCTTGAAGCAGATGACAGAGGGGAGGAGAGAATGTGGCTTATCTCTGTGCCTTCCTGAGCTGAGCCAGAGGATGGGAGAGGTGGCACAGTGGCTACAGTGCTGGCTGTGCAGTCAAGAGGACCGAGTTCAAATCTTGCCTTGGCTACCAGCTCACACCCGTCAGATTGGCAAAGTTGACAAAAAGGAAAAATGAAAAGGACAAATCCTGGAGGTGCTATTGGGACCCAGGTACATTAGCTCTTTCTTGGTGGAGCTGGGTGGTCCAGCCATTCGGGGAAGTCATTTGGAACTATGTCCCCAAAGTTATTAAACTGTGCATACTCTCTGACCCAGTGATATTGCTACGAGGTCTCTATGCCCCAAAGAGATCAAAGAAAGGGGGAAAGGACCCATATGTACAAGAATATTGCTAGTAGCTCTTTTCGTGATGGCAGGGATTTGGAAATTGAGGGGGGAATGGTTGAACAAGCTGCAGTACATGAAGGTGACAGAATAAGAAACAGTGAAGGGGACAGTTCCAGAGAACCCTGAGAAGACTTGCATGAACTGATGCTGAGGAAAGTGAGTAGGACCAGGACAGCAATGTATCCGGTAACATCGACATTGTAAAGACAAACAACCTTGAAAGACTTGGGAACTCTGATAGATACAATGTAACCAGCTGGAGAGAAAGACATGGACTTCTCAGAGAACTGACAGGCTTATTTTTTGTCGACGCAACTAAAGTGGGGATTTATTTTTCTTCATTTACACATCTGTAATGTTTTTCCCCCTCATGACTTTCTCAGCTGATGGGATGGAGAGACTTTGGAACTGAAAATAAAATAAAATAGAATTTTAAAAACCAGACAAGCATCAGCTGAAGCAGCTGACCCCACATCTACTCACTTCTCAGCCTCAGCTTCCTCATCTGCAAAAGGGGACTATCCACAGTGCCTCCTCTCCCCCATGGCTGTAAGACCACAGCAAGTACCAGATGAAGCCCTTTGTAAACCTCGTGTGCTGTGTATGGGGTAGTTACTGGGGGTAGTAATTCTGGAGTAAGGGCACCAAGATGGATATGTGTGTAGGCATCAGCCTGGGGCACGCTGGCAGCTGAACTTCTCAGCTTGGTGGAAGGGGGGGCCTTAAAGGATCTCAACTCATTCCAGGACTAGGAGGGGTCCAGGCAAGAGCATCTCATCCATTCTTGCTCACTTTCATGACAAAGCTACGTGCCCTTGTTCCAGGATACACAAAGGGTCCCAAATGACAGAGCTAGAATTCAAACTCAGCTCCTCTGCCCTCCAATCCTGCCCTTCCTCTCCTCTCAGTCACACATCATTTCCCAGGATTGACTTTGCTCTCTCCCCACCCTGAGCAACCTGGGCTTTCCCTGGTGGGGGTCCTGCAGCCCCTCTGCTCCCTCCATATCTGGGGAGACGGGCCCTGGAGATATAGCCCAGGGAAACCAGGGCCCACTCTGAGTTCTATGGGGCTCTGCCAACGTGGTCTGAGGGCTCTGGCCCCCTGCTTGGGATGATGAGGCAGCAGAGATTGAGAACAGGCAGCAATGTGCCCCGGGACCTTGGCTGCCTCTGGTTCAGCCTGTCTTGCAGGAGCAGTCCCCAGGCCAAGAGGCAATCCCTGAAGACCCCCTGGAGTGGGAGCTACCCTCCCAAAGCCAGGGAAACTCCCTCCCCTCAGCTTTGACATTGTTTTGTTCAAAGGGTTGTCTCCCAACCAGCCTAAGCCAACCTCCTTGAAATGGGGGCAGCAAAGAGAAGAGCACAGAGGGTCCAAGGACAGGGGTGGGGGTGGGCAGTGGAACCCTTACGGCAGAAGTCTGGAGCCCTCCAGTCGACACAGACACCCACGTCCAAGCACGCCTTGGCGTAGGCTGCCACGGCGTCACACATGCACTCGCAGTCCCCTCCTGAGTCACAGCCACAGGTATCACGCACACAGGCGTCATAGTAAGGCAGCCGGTATACCTACGGGCACAGGGGAAGCGGCACCTCAGTGCTGGCCCTTCCCAGGCAGTCCTACTCAGCTCTTGATGGGCCAAGATCGATCCCAGGGGCCAGCCTGGCCCCTTTTAGCTCTGAGGCTCTGGCCGAATGGGCTTAGGGTGCTATGGCCCCGTGTGTACCAGAGGTTTGGGACGTGCTGGAGGCCACTCGCCCCAAGTGCGGGGAGCCAAAGTAGGACCTGGGGACTGGTTGCTTCCTGGGTGGTCTTCCCAGAGGTCTGTGCCATAGCTGGGGTGGAGGTGAGTTTGAGACACTGTCACCCCTGCCAGAGCCTGGCTGGGCCTTTCCCTGGGCCAGTTCTGCCTGGGGGTGTGGCTACCCATGCCCTGTGGCCCACAGGAGGGAGGAATGTACCCAAGCCCTCCTTCCCTGGCCTGGGCTGAGGCCTAGAGAAGCAGCCAGCTTGGGGGGCCAGAGCACTGACGTGGGGAGCCTGGGGCCTGCTGTGTTCTATCCCGGGGTGTCTGTGAGCCCTGTACTGACACTGTGGGGTATGCTTGGGGTGGGGGACACTGGGGAGGAAGCCCCCCATTTCAAGGAGTGGGGAGGAAACAGGGAAGGTTTCGTCCCTGCTTCTTTCCTTCCTTGGATCCCCTGTTCCCCAGCCTGCTTTTCCTGGGGTTCCATGGGCTGTGTACCCCACTGGGACAGGGGGGCCCAGCACAGCCCGACTGAACCCCACTGGGCCCCAGTGCAGCCTGGCCATGAAGGCTTCCTTTGGGCTGGCCGGAAGGGAGTGCCAGGCTCTGCCCCTTTATACCAACAGGGAGGGCCATGGGCCCCTCAGACTTGATTCCTGATGGCTTCGGGCTGCCTGGGGCCGCCTCTCTGGGCCTGTGTGCTTTTGTGTGCCTTCTCTGTCCCTGCATCACCACCCTTCCCCAAAGGCCTCCTATCACTCCTCAGAGATCAGAGGCCGAGGGAGAAAGGCCCAGGCCCTGTGCTCAGGCCCCCTGCAGCACAGCTGGAGGGCTCCTCTGAGCAGGGTGGTACCGGCAAAAAAGCTCCCAAGAAGTGATGGGCCTGAGCTTTGGGGGGAGCTGGCGAAGGCCCCACCCTGCCAGCCTACTGCCCTGGGGCTGGGGGGGAGGTGCTGCCTCTGCAGCAGCAGCCTCAAGGCAGCCTGCTTCCCTGCTTGCCTTGTAGAGTCCCAGAGGCCCGCCTCTAGTGGCCAAGCACATCGTGCACATGTCTGCACACACATGCACAAGCATGATGCATGCACACATACACGCATGCACGCACATGCCCCAAATATGCACACACATGACTACACACAAGCATGCTCACAAGCACACAGGCACGTGCACCTTCTCAAAGGCACACTCACAAGCACAATATTCAAATACGCACACACAGACGCACACACATGTAGATATGTTCACAATTCATATATGCACCGCACTTCCTGCACTACACTCCAATACCCTCTGGCACATCTAAGTGACACCTGCACACATGAGAACACATATATATGCACTCACACATGTACACAGCACACCCCCAAAGGCATGGCACACAATGCTCACATGCACATACTAGAACATGCACACGGTCACGTGTACTCATGCACATGTGTGCACAAATACAGTACACAGAACTCACACGTGCACACGATGCATGCACTCTACACAAAGCACAATAATGCG